AGTCAGCAATGTAATAATGGCCACTTCTTGCTAAATTTACGATGAGATGAAAAACCGGACTTGACCAAACAAATCACGGAGCTCTCAGCAGAGGACAGCCGGGGACGCTCCCGCCGATATCAGAGATGTCCCTGCTATGTGTGGGAGGTAAGAGAGGACATTTAAGGGCTATGTTTGATGTCTTTTAAGTATCACCTGCTGGGGTTTAGCTGCTGTCCTGTGCCTTTTTTAATCGTTTTTTTACGTCCCTCACTTCCGTTTCGCTTCTCATTTGCTAGCTGAACAGCTGATCAGAGTGGTTTCTTGGCCCGATAGCTTGTGTCCGACACCCGGCCGATTCAACATGTTGAATCGGCCGGGTGTCGACCGTGAAAGGCCAAATAAGGCGTGTCACGGCCGAGGGTTCGGGACACACCAAATTGACTTTGGGCGACAAGGAACCCGTTGTCGCCAAACAACGCAAGACGGCCGATATCGGCCTGGTGTGTAGGGGCCTTTAAATGCATGATCTGTTTGGTATTTTGAAAAGAAAAAAGTATAAATATGCCTTATATAGGTATGGTCCTACACTATATTATTCAAATATAGCATGATAGGTCCACTTTAAGCTTTAACTCAAGGTCAACATGCTCATTGGATTCAGGGCCTATAGCCGGTCTTCTTGAGCCAATGTAGTCTGCATGTGGATCTGTTTTAGAGATCATGAGTTCCTCTAGTGACCTCTCGTCCAAGCTAACTTAAAAAAAAAAAATGTAACCAACCCAACCCTTATGCCCATAGGCTGTGGGCTCTTGAGTCACATGAGATTCATTTTGATGTTGGGAGTGTCTCATGATTTAGAGACGGGGGATCTCCAGTGTTCACGCTCCATCCTAAACCTTTAGTTAATTAGCCCACTCCATCTTCAGAGGTGTCCTAGAATCAGCCCTAACCTCTAGTGAGTACGTATGTAAGTAAGTAAGAAAGTAAGTAAATAAGTAAGTAAGTCAGTCAGTCAGTCCGTCAGAGAGTCAGTTCGTAAGCAAGCAGCATTCAAGCAAGCAATCAAATAAGGAAGCAAGCAATCAAGTAAGGGAGGAAGGAAAGGAATGAAGGAACGAATTAACGAATGAACAAAGGAACAAAGGAAGGATGGAAAGCTTTACTTATTTACCACATTTCAGAAGAAACAGCTACAAATGCTTCAGACAAACATCAAATGCAGATAAATTCATAAAAACAGTTTACAATAAAAACACAGAACAATGAACCTGTCTAAGAACAAATGCACATGGTAAAGGGACCTGTCTAAAACAAATGTATTTGCCTTTCGTCTGCTCAAAGCGCTTTGAGCCGACATTTATCCATTTACACAAACACATTCATACACTAATTTATAAACTGATGATAGGAAGCCGAACCCATATCAAGATGTGGTATATTCACGCACACTGACACGCTGTCTTCTGGGACAAAATGGGGTTCATTGTGGACTGGAGGAGGATCGAAGCTCCGATCTTCCGATTAGTGGACAGCCCGCTCCAACTGAGCCACAGACGCCTGGCCAGAACATGACAGAGCTGAAATCTAAGTGAAATCTTAAATTGAAGTTCAACTTTACTGTCATGTGTGTAGAAAACAATGGAGTCATTGTGCTAAAAGGCTCTCTGCCTTACGTAAAGTCAACGCTTCAGTTTTGTATGTGTGTGTATTGCACCATGGCATTATACTATAGTATAAAGTAATGTCAAATAGGATATGCAAATGCAATATTATTCTATTTGCCAAAGACTCAAACACAGATAAAGGAATTAACATGTATTAACGTTAACTTTTAGTTTAGTATATTAGGGCAAGGTAGCTTTCATTTTTTAAATGATCTTAGAGCACATTACATTAAAAAGAAACCAATGTGTTTTACATTTTAAAAAACACCAAGCACATCCACAAGGTTGTATTACGATCAAGAAAATTGACAATTGCTCCATCAATATTTGCATTACATGAGCATCAACATTCAAAGTGTACTGCTGCAAACAAACCATACGTCATCTCCATCTGCAAAGTTGAGTTCTGAAAATGGACGGTTGAAAAAAACCCAATCTTTTGCCTTCACACTCTCTGAAACCTCTGCAGATTGATGAGATGATCATATTTGTTTACATGGCAGCTGGTTAAATGGCAGAGTCTTTGTCAGGCAGTGATTCACACACCCTGCGCAGCCTTGTCCGGGGGTTGCATTATTATTAAGAGACATCCACAGGGACATGAATTACACTCCAAAGAGCTGTTTGAATGCATCATCTCCATTTGTTTTGAACCTTTATTTGTCCACCTGCATGCTCTTTTTCTATTTGCATTCATGCCAAGTAATGACTGAAATTAACAAGGAGGTGCAGAACAAACAACACATGCAGCGAAGCGGCAAATGGAGGTTTAAGTGGCTTAAATGTAAAGAGGCTTCGACACTTGTTTATGAGGGAAAAAGAGAAAATGACTTTCTGAGTCTGAAAATCTTGGATTTCCTTATTGTGACTAATCTGTAATTCACTACCAAGTATAGTGGTACTGGGAACATGTGGTATCAACACAATATATATAACATTTGAAATCTATCTTATTATATTCATTTATTCGGGTAAACAGATGTGCAAGAGAAAACTCATGTTACATGATGAAAAATGCATAACAACAGTTTAATCATCCTGCAAACCTCTTGTGAAATACTCATGAGGGTGGAGACATGTAAGAATATTTGTGCAGTAGAAATAAATGGGATTTTAGTTGGGAAAGAAAAGAAGGATTTGTTTTTATTGGAAAAAGTGAAGGAGATAATTCAAAACAGTTTGATAGGTCATTGGAGAAGGAGCTGTTCCTCCACAAATAAAATGTTTAATAGGTATTTGATATGTGTATTATATAACAGAAAAGGAGTTGACAAATAAATCATTACATTCTTAACAAACAATACATTGCCCTAAATACTTTTGGGGAAAACAATGTTCATTATGCAACGAAGTATTTTTATTTATGATCACACTGCAGCACGCAGCAGCTTCCCCTCGTTAAGCAGGATGGATAGGCCTTCAAAACCCGCTTTAAGATATTCAAAATGTGGAATATAGAGAACAAGGCTTCTCTTCATTTCTTCCCCCTAAATACATTTCTTTTTTGTTACTGGACCCTGTAGTCATTTTAAAAATGAATACATGCCAGACACAGCTCTATCTCATGATTCAGTTATGCGCCCTGTTTTTTTTTTTTACGACAAACTTGACTTCCTAGAAAAGAGAAACATATGGGCCCAAAATAACCTGGGCCTTTTCAACAATGAAAGGGTTGAATAACACAAATTGTCATGTATAGTAATCGTTAAAGCAACAGTATAATAATAATACTAATTGTCTATGTTTTTTTCCATAATTGCTGGCTGTTTTTTATATTTCTTTTATGATAAGATACGTTATTGCTCTTCTTTTAAAAATATATACTGTACACATTATAGCCACATTATAGTTACTGATATTCTTTACTTTACAAAGAGGACATGTGTTTCCACAGCCTGCGCATGCTTAGTCACACATAGTCAGAATTAAATAATTGAGTTACATACATTACATGGAATTTAGCTGATGCTTTTATCTAAAGCGACTTACATGCACATACACTCAATACCGTAGAAAAGCGTACGGCAATTTGGAGTTAAATATCTTGCCCAAAGCCACATCAGCAGGTTGACGGCAGAGGGTGGGATGAGATTCATTTTGATGTTGGGAGTGTCTCATGATTTACAGACGGGGGATCTCCAGTGTTCACGCTCCATCCTCAACCTTTAGTTTTTTAGCCCACTCCATCTTCAGAGGTGTCCTAGAATCAGCCCTAACCTCTAGTGAATAAGTAAGTAAGAAAGTAAGTAAATAAGTCAGTCAGTCAGTCAGTCAGTCAGAGAGTCAGTTAGTAAGCAAGCAGCATTCATTGAACAAAGGCCATTAACAAAAAATAAAACAGCCTTACTCATGATGTGTCATGTTTTCATAACTATTAAAATGACACATTTGACATGTGGTAACGGTACTACTTTGGCCTAGTTTGCATGTTGGCATGATGTAACAAGGGTACCTGTGCCATATCAACATTTTATTGGCAGTTACCAAAATAGCATTTACAAACAAGCCTTTCTTAAATTCGAATCTATTCATGTCCTACTCGTTATTTAGAGTAGACCCTTTGGACTTTCAAAGACACAGTAGAGGCGGGATAAATGAACACATTGTGTATTTTAAAGAAAGGCAATGAATCATTGGCAGATAGGCAGACATTGCCTTTTCTTGTGCTCCACTCCAGTTTTTCTGCAGGGTTTCGTCCTTGTATATCTTTCCTTGAAAAAATAAACCTCCCTTATAGAGAAAGAGAAAGATGTATAGCACTTTGTAACACATGAAAGGAGAGCGGTTATCTTTTCAAATGCATGGCCTTTCCCTTTCTAAAGCTGTGTGTGTGTGTGTGCGTGCGTGCGTGCGTGCGTGCGTGCGTGTGCGCGCGTACTTGAGTGAGTGAGTCAGGTCTTCCTAATGAAGTTTCCACACAGAGGAACATGCACGACTCGCATTTAAGCGCCGAAAAACAATCCAATCAGTCAAATTGATTTGAACACTTCACGTCTACCCTTCCCTTTTCAAAGGATGTCGTTTTTGGCATGAAGATGTCAACGACGGCTGACCTTTGAGCGACTTAGAGACGGAAATATTCGATTTAATCACTGCAGCTGCTTTTTCTTATTGATAACGTTAACCTGCACCAAAGAAATGTACCTGAGATCCATAAAACATCTAGCCATTCAGGATATTTGTAAGATTGCAACTCACCCAGAGGAAGAAACATGAGGAGCTAGTTAACTACATCACTAAAGCTTCACCTGTTGATGTGATGACGTGAGCGGCACCATTGATTACAAAGTGTGTGGGAGGACTTGAAACCCTTTACCATACACACTCCCTTCCATCCAGAGAGGAACAGGAGACCCCTTACCTCGATCACACCCAGAGGCCTTGAGACTCCGACCTCCACACTTCGCGCGTCTATAAAAAGAGCTTTCCTCCTCTGAGGAAGCAACAGCAGACCTTCTCCTACTGAGCATTTCCTCACAGAGCACAGAGACAGCAGAGGAGGAGGAGAGGGATCCCAGTTAAGTGTCGCCACTCTGGAAGATCTGTGGACAAACGGAGAAAAAGCAAGAATACAGGAAAGGAACGCTTTTGGAAAAGGTAAAAACTAATTGTCTTAAACTTGTCAGTGGATGTTTTTTTTGGCATGACACAAAATAGTTTCTGGTTGTCGTTAGCTTCTTGTTTTTTCTGAGCAAGTATTGCATTGATTACACACTCTTACATTATTTGGGATGTTTTACATGTACAGCTGCATTTTCTCTGTAAATCATAATTGTTGTAGATGTTTGTATTGTATAGTTTCACCTCAGCTTGTTGTAGAATATGCACAGTTTTCTTTGCTGACATTTCAATTGCTTTTCATTGAACAAATCTTCCATGAACAAATCTAACTAACAGACCATTTAAATAACTCTTTAGATTATGAACACATACGGTTTGAATCTATTTTGATCGCAGCTCTCTGTTATCAGATCATGCCTGTAGAGAGCTGAGTGAGTCATACTGTAGGAAGACTCTCTGCCAGAGTTACAAAGATGATGGCCCACCAAGGAGTCGCTCCTTGGAAAAATAGAGAAGCGAGGAAGAAACCAAAGGATACAATTACCCAAAAAAGGAGAGAAAACTCACTGCGCGCAGAGACCAAATGTAAAACCTTAACAACTCAAAACAAGCGGTTAAAACGAGTATCAATTTTGTTTTATTTGTCTCCGTTATCCAGTATCTTCAAATGAAATCCTGTTGATAAAGTCGATGGTTTTAACATGAGAAGCGAGTGATTAGGATGTGATAATAAACAAAGCAGCAAGAGATGAGGGGGGGGGGGGGGGGGGGGGGCGTTTGCCTGGTGGAGATGCGTCATAAAGGAAGTCATTCAGTGCTGCTGAAAGAATTTGTTTGTCCATCTTCCTCAACAATTAAAGTAATTTATCTGCACTGAGTGCTTCTTACAACACCCATGTGTTTTCTTGCAATGTATGTGCATGTATAGCATTGTCCTTGAAACAGCACAAATGTTGGCTGGCCGCTCACAAAATGACCCTTTCACCTCACTGACCTTTAACTGTTGGCTCTCCCTATTGCGCCCTCTTTTTACTACTTTTAAAAAAGCTGAGTGGTTACAGCGCGTGCATAACCACAACATATTTGGATGGATAATGGCCCTTGTGGCATGTCACGCCCCTCTCACACTAAACGTCTAAAATGCTAAAAATAATAGTATTTTCTTTTAAGCAAGCCTTTCCCTGCGGCGCCATTCATATTTGCTTTCTCCTTGACCTAAAAAACAGCTACATCCCACACAGTGATAACCAACGTGGCCCTCATTTCATGTTTATTATGTTCATAAATTAATCATACATTGTTCACAGTAAAAGATTATGTACAGCCAATTTAATGTGAAACATAACTGAATAGATTGACAGCTGCTCTCCTTTTTTGAACAAAAGCTACTTAATGAGTAGTTATCATCATCATTTTTTGACGTCAGCCGTGTAAATCAAGACTAAAGTTGAATTTGCCAGGTATGGGTTGGAGTCATAATCCTTTGTTATCCTGTCCTGTATTGAACTCTGAGCAGCTACTTTTTCATAAATGCTGCCAAACAAACTCACGTTGTTTAAATGAAGACGTCTGTTGTTTATCCCATGTCTAACTTTTCATTCCATGCTTCTGACAGCACACATTGTTTTCCAAACAACAACTCAGTGGCTTATTTTTGATGAAGCATCACAGACTGCAGTGATCAATACATGGCATTTGCTTTGGCTGCCTCTCAGAAAAAACCACTACCATGTTTTTCTAATCAAATAATATTAGTGTGAAGTGTTGTATACAGGAAAACAAGTGGAGGGCCCAAATGCAGTCCAGCCAAACAATACGTTAAGAGTTCAGAGATGAATTATGAAACTGAAAACGCAAACACGGGTATAAAAGATAGACAGAAGTACCAAAAAAAGAATGAATTTTGATCAATCCCTACTGAGATCCATGTCTATTCTTTCTCAAAACAGTAAATCTGTAAACATCGTATTAAAACTCTATAAAATATAAATATGGATAAAGAAAAAAACAAAGACCCTGCCCTGCTCGCCAAGCACTGATTATTTTCATAGTCACGCACGATCGGAAACCACAAACCTCAATCGAGCCTCCTTTGGGTACTAAATCAAAACAATTTATGGATTTCATTATCTTCCATTTTAAATAAGATTGATGTGCTGCAGATCTCTTCAAATGCAATGAATTTGGAAAAGGAATGTGGATGAATTGCATTTGAACTCAGGGCTATTATTCAGCCGTGACACATGCTGCAAATCAACCAATTACAGTTGTTAAAGTGTTGAAACATGTCAAGTTATGTAAGGAAGTAAGGAAGTGTTATGCAAGTGCAATCATCAGGAGAACCTTTTGTTCCCAAAAGTAACAATTTATTTCTTCCTATTAAGGCAAGAATATGTGACTATTGGGACTGTTAATCCTCTTCAATGTGCTGAGGACAGTTCCCCATAGCCTCTCTTGTTTATCTGTCCTCCACACCAGGCTGAAGATGGTGTGTCTATGTTGGTTGTTCGTGGTGGTGATGGCGTATGTGTGCGTCCCCGGGTTTGGGTCAAAATGCTGGGAAAGCTCCATCTGCAACGACCTGAGCAGCAAGGGAAGGATACTGGTAGGTCGAACGGCCGGCTCTATCATCTTCATTCTTGCCTTACAGTGTTTCCTCTTTGTAACTGCCACCCCTATAGCAAAGCAAATGTATTTCTAACAAAGATTTCACCTAAAGTAGTCAAAAGTCCTTCCAATAGGACCCAGACTACACAGAAAACAGAGTGAAAGATCAAATAAAATAGCATGAAAAGAACAATTTTAAGCTTCAAGGTTCATCCTTAAATCTGGAAATAGCAGTGGACAAAATAATCTTTTGTTATGGTTGTTTTCTTCCACAAATAATCCATTTGAGAGATAACAGACAACAAGGCTGTACAAATATAATTGTTTTGGCCTTTAAGAAAAATCTGAAGATGTCAACGAGGACTCTGGGATATTTTTTGGGGCATTTTTCCTTGTTATCCAACATCTTATGGACCAAAATTGAATCAACAAAGAAGAGGTTGTTATTTGCACCAATGAGAGAAAGTCTAATATTTCAGTTTTTCTTCTTTATCTTAAAGATTTTGTTTGAGGTTTTTTGCACATTGATTTTCTCAATGCTGTTATAAAGGGAGTCCATGAGGCCTATTTATTTGGTGACTCAGATATGAAAGAATAAAGCATAATTATGATCACAAACAAGCATCCGCTACTATTATCAGTATCAAACCAGTGTATTTTACACCCGTGTATCATCATCACCTCTTCACATGACTCACAGTTTTCAATGTGTGTTGATGTTTCTCTTTGCTTCCTTCCACACAGGACTGTATTCACCTCTGCATGTCAGTCATTCAGACTGAACTCCCCCTCAGTCCATTGGCGTTGAAGGTGAATGAAGACGATGACCTCTTGCTCAGCATCATCCTGGCCACCCTGGTGTCTGAAGACAAGATACCAGGGTCATATCTGAAAGACCACAGCGATGAGCGACGCTCCTATTCAATGGAGCATTTCCGCTGGGGCAAACCCACTGGTCGTAAACGCCGGCCTGTCAAAGTGTTTGCCTCCAGTCCGGAGGGAGGGGGCTACTCTGGGGGCAGTTTCCCCCGCCATGTGCGCCGGGAGCTGAGCGGCAACGAGGATGAAATGAGGGGGCAGCTGAATGGAGGGGGTCAGATCCAGGTGTTGCCAAAGGCGAGAGTCAGCCCTGAGTCTCAAGCGTTGGGCCCGCAGGAGAGGAAAGATGGGACCTATCGGATGAGTCACTTCAGGTGGGGGAGTCCGACTTCTAAACGTAATGGCAGCTTAAAGAAACAGTGGGGGGGGAAATCTCGGCGGCAGCTGACCAAGCTCTTCAAGAACATTATGGTGAAGGATGTGCAGAGGATAATGGGCTGAATGTAGGATGGAGGCGAGAGAATCTAAAAGCCATTGCATGTTAGTATCCACAGGTCTTTATTTTAAACTAACTTGTCACAATCATTAGCATGAATGTATTTTCTGGGTCTCATTACAACCTCAAATAAAGAGAAGAAACAAAGCAGTTTTTTTGTTTGATAAATATAATAATGCATCCAAAGCCTGCCGGTCTGATTTGAGATTTGTTGTTTTTCTTGTGGGAATCATCTTTATGTGTTGAAGAAGAGAGCATGCCATTCCATAGCAAGACGTGGGTGTGAATGAAAGCTGTTAAAAACATATATCCAGTTTATTTACAGAGTTGTATCTTTTTGTAAATTAATATAATATTAAAGATCATTAAGTTTATGGCAAACAAATTATGGGGTTTGACTGATTTTTTATTTATTAAGCACAAAAACATGCACTATATGGATTTGTATCCACCATTGATCATTGGCTGGTTGCATCTTAAAGCTCTGGAAAGTAACATGTTCAGTATTTTTGAAATAACAAAACATAATTTCTTTAAATACGTATTATAATATTAATGGTGACAAAAGTGGAAGGCTGATGACTTACTGTATGGCTCAATTTAGAATGGATTTGTACTTATTGTATTTTAAGCAAATGTTAAGCATTTGTCAGTCAGGAAATAAGCCTGGCAAAAAACACATTAAACAAATATATATTTTCCTACCTTACATTTTTAGGCTACTCCTTTCATTTCAATACTACACAATAACTGGAAAAGCTAAAAAAAAACAACTGTGAACGAGTAAGAGAAACAGTAGGAGAAAAGACACCACTAAAACACATGATACATTTAATTCTGAAAAACCACTCCTTCAGGTGACAGTACTGATGCAAGTATTGTCACAGTGACATAACTCAGTCATTACAGGCAAGTCAAATAATAACACGACAAGCATTGTTAAGGAAACCTAACATTAATGATTGCTTAATATGTGTTGACCTCTGCAACTGACTCAGCACTCCAGCATGTGTTTGTTTATTTTTATTGTACTGTATGATGATGCATGATGATGTTACGCAGATTCAGATCACATTTGAAAACAAAATTCCACTCCATGACGCTTGCCCAATTGTCAATAACAAGTAAAAACAGAAACAGATCAGACTATTTCTGGATACAGACACATTTATTGTACACAACGGCAACATCACAAGCATGCAAAGTCAGGTTCTGACACTCATAAGGCATTTTCTCCTTGTAAAAGCTGCCTTTGTCACTAGGGAATCCAGTTTTTAAAGTGCAAAGTTCACAGAATGAATAGATTTTTGACCTACAGCACTACGTTGTAAACAGATCTATTAACGAGACATTTAATGACAAAAGTAAGATTTGGTTTACCGTTAGTCAATATTACCATACACTATGCAATGACAACAAGCACTCTGGTAGATTTACAGATCTTCACTGCCAAGATGCTGAAAAGACTTCACAAGGTGTCGCTGGAAGGTTTTTAACAGCTGCACGTCGCTGTAAGATGAATTGTTCTTTGTTAACATTGTGGAAAAAGTCACTGGAAAAAAAACTGTAAACTGATTTTGGTCTTGGGTAATGACGATATACACACACACACACACACACACACATCTGCGTGAGTGTTCATACAGACGCATGATTAAATACACACACACACACACACACACACACTTCTGCACTAAAATGGTAAACATGAACAGATCTGATACAGTGGACATGAATATACATACAGATGACACTACATAGTAAAAGAATTGGAGCGTGACACAGAACGGACACCGTTACATTAAACATGGCTGCAGCGCGACTCACGCGCCATGCAGATAGTTCACAGAAGCGCAGAAGCAGAAGAGGGGGGGGGGGGGGGGGGGGGGGGGGGGGGGGTCGGTCTCTCACAACATCACAATACTGACCATCACAGCACCACAACAACAACAGAAGGTAACCATTTAAAACACAAACGGATCTGCTACCAACAGTTGGGCTGTGTTAGCCAGGCTAGTGGCAAGTTATTGCCCTTATACTTTGCTTCGATACCTGTGTGTATGTGCACACATGCATAAAAAATGGCTTTTAGACTTTAATCTTGCTGAATGAGACAGGTGCACTGCTTGGAAGCCGCGGCAGCGTTAGCAGCGGTGTGGCATAAGAACAGAGTGCAAACTTATTCCAGCAGGACTGAGAATGTGATGGCAGCTCTACAGGTCACAATGGTGCTAAAAACCTGTCTGGTAATATGTGGCGAATAATGAAGTCGATTATTTCATTAATTCTTTAGCAGGACACGTTTCAGACGTCACTAGTGTGATAAACTGGCCTCAAGACGATGGAGATGTTTTCTTGTGGGCTGTTCAAACCCTTGTCAATGAACCTTTTTGATTTCATGTGTTGCTGGTTTCTACGGAGGTCCCGAGAGGCAAGTAAAAAAACAAAAACAATCGTATTAAATTACGTATTTTCAAATTCTGATGTAAAAGATTTCCCTCCTGAGTTTGTGAAGAGAGAACAGGTGAACATCCAGGTTTTGCCAGGGTTATATTTGCCATATATGGCACGTACAATTAGTTTGTGTTTGTTTTAATACTCATTTAGCCTACAGGTAGAAGAAGTGCTCCATGTTTTTGAATAAGCCTAAAATAATTCATGCTTTCTTCCATGTGAGTTTTAATGTCTTTGAAAATACAAAGTACATATATTGTGTGTTGTTTAAAAAAAATGAAAGATTATCCTGGTTCACCTTATTTGAACTGTTCATTAACACAAACGTATGTTCAGAATTGGAAACATGTATCACCAGAATTTGGATTATCCCCCTTGCCTCTCAGTGCTCCCGTATGTAACATATTGAAGAGTTTACAAACAAATCTGAGTACTATCTAAGTAGCTTTCTCCCTCATCTATGGACACAATCAGTGCAGTGGCAGTCTAAAATTAGAATTAATATACAGTTTATATACAGTACACACACCAAAGAATCCCTACTCTGTACATCCGCTTATAGATTTATATATTTCTCTGTATATACACATTTATATGGAAAGGAGAAAATAAAGGATCCTTATTTACCCTCTAGTGTTTGATCTGGTAAACATCACAGTAAACACTTCAGAAGATAAGTGTGGTCATGACTGTGAAGCAGTGTGTGTTTCTGTGTACGTTTGAACTCGAGTCACCTGCAAGGCACACTCACTTTGGGAGGATAGCACAAAGATAAATCATTTACATCACGGATAAAAACAATAAAATAACGATATGAAAGAAAAAATACGGAGGTGCAGGAAATAGACGCCTGTCCTGAAAGAAAAAGCACTTTTGGCTAACACTAAAAAGGCAAAATAAAAAAAATGGTAAAACATTCAAAAGAGAGCTGAGTAACATGGGATATGGTAAGGATTAGCGTCATAGTTGGATACATCTGTCCATATTTCATTCAAACATAAATCAAAATACATCTTTTACACATATGCTCTCTCCGGCGATAAAAATCAACCAACAACAAAACAAATAAAATATTAAAAAAAACGGTCAATCTAATTTTCGTGATCAACAGTAGTATGGCACCCTGTAAGGGACAAACAGGTGGAAAGAATGTCCAAGTTGTAGTGCTATCAAAAATGTCCAGTAACATGGCATGCAACAAGTCAGTTCATTCAAATGAAACAACTCTCAGTGTGCCACCTATCGTCCCCTCGCAGAACTTGGCAATTTCAAATGTTAAAATCCAACCACAGGAGATTCTACAGACATCGAAGGAGACGCGAGGGGAATAACAGACACATAAAAGTTGGTTTTACTGCTGCATGAATCGACATAAATAGCCGGCTTGTTTTGGGCTGCAATCACACGGAATTTCAGATGACTATGTTGATCAACAAGTAGCTTGTTCTTGAGTAGACTGTGGTTTTTTCTCCTCATCCCCTGTGATCATGTGATTCCATGTAAAGATCGGTATCCGCCCCCAAAAAGAATTCCTCGCCTGTCCTCAAATGTGAAATAGTTCTGTAACTTCCCTTTCTGCGCTAGTAAACACAGAGGTCAGGAAACTTCATCTCGTAGAGGGGGACGGATCGACTCTGGCTTTGGCCGTAACCTGATGAAATGGTTCCAGATGGGCTGGGGGGGGGTCTGCACGGGAAGAGGAAACATCATCAGGAGTCAATCTTCACCTTTTAACAATAACACAGCGAGGCTTGCGCAATCATGTTTTGATAGTCTTAGAAATATGTCAAACATCCATTTTAACGACGGTGTTTTTGCTGGACTGAACTACAGATCTATTAAACGACCCCAGGCGGTAAAGCCCTCCTCTGCCAGGCTTTAGCCAGAGCCAAGAGACGGATCACATCACTCCAGCTTCAGCCTTATTACCCTGACTCCCATTGTGTTTTAGAGTTTTTAAGGTTGAACCGATTACTTTAAAAGCTCTGCATGGCCTCTCTCCATGTTTTATGTCTGAGCTCTATGTACCGTACGCCCAGTTCTTTTAGATCCCGTCCCAGAGGCAAAAACTAAAGGGGACAGACCGTATGTAGTCAGAGCCTCAAACCTGCCCCAGGGAATCAGGTCGCCTGAGTCAGGAAACTGCTTTATGGATTAAAAGCAAGTTCCTTTTTGGAGACCCTTTCCTCAAGTTAATAGAAGTTACATTTCCTTTTCTTTTTCCTATTCCTTTTCCAAACTACATTGTTCTTTACACCATAATGTTTTGTATCTGTTTCCTCTTAAATCTGATGATTTGCGACACTTTTGTTGGGCTGCTTTGAATAATTATAATATCAATAAAAATGAAAATGTAATATTATCAGCCATCAATGTCACTTTGGAAAAATACTGTTTCATTGGAAATATACCAAAGTGCCGTGTCTTACCTGATTGTAATCTCAAAGATCTGATTGAGTTTGCTCTGGAGTAGAGTGGCCTGGATAGGACAAAGAACATCATGTCAGACCATAATGCCAAACTGAAACAACAATAATCAAACAATATGGGTTAAAGGAATGTGTTTTTTACCCTGGCACCACAGTGTGCAGCTATCTCCTCGAAGGGGGCCTTCTGAAACTTCTCCACCACTTGTCTCCTCCGCTCCCTCTCCTGCTCCTCCATACCGACGCTGTCCACTAGAGGGAGACACAAACAACCTTTATGTCTCTATTCTGCACCATGCTGAACTAGATTGTGTGTTGAAAGTGACAGTTTGGCCTTAATGCTTGAAGGATGCTTCTTATTTCAGTAAAGGAAATCACAATAATTGTAATGTTGACGTACCGATGGCATTCTTTAAGGTTTCAAATGTGATCTCCTCTGCTGGCGTCCTCTGCGGAACAGAATAAGAACAAAGGAATATCAAGCACTTTTCATTTAACTCGAACGTCCTTGTGTATCGGTACATTTAAGTTCTTGAAGATGGCATTGTTGGAAATGCTTTTTGCCTTTACCTCTTCTTTCTCTGGACTGTTTCTGGACTCCACCTCCACCTGCAGTGAGATGGTCTCTCCGATGCTCTTCCTCTTGGACAGACGGTCCTCATCTGGACACGGAAAAGAAAACAGACATTTCTTTTAATCCAAAGGCAACATTGAATGCGTCTAATCAGAATAACACAGGCTGACGCGATCTGACAAATGAGTCTAAACATGAACTAGCGCCCTAAGGCAATGCCTATCAATAAGTTATAGATAGTCAAGGGGCTTTTCCTTCAACTCAATGATCCTGGCTCTAGCCCCACAGCTGAAGAACAGTCTGTCCTGATGTAGTGTCCTTCAATGAATCACTAAATCCCCGCGAGCTGCAGGAGAGAAATTCAGCTCTCCAATTCCATACAGGAATCAATAAAGCACCAACTAAAAGATTTAACACACTGGCAAATGCAATAGACATTATCATTATATACTTTTAAAGAATATCTCTTCTTTGGCACAGCTGACTTTTAAACACGATGTATGCTTTTAACAAAAGAAAGGTTTTGTTGAGACCCTTACCAGTGTACTGGGGGACATACGGGGTAGCCAGTCTGTCTGTGTTATACCCACTGCCTCCGAGGACCTCAGTGATCTTGGACTGGAGGAACAGAACGTCCCCTTCCACCTTCTCCAGTGAAGAAGGCAGCCTGGGGAAAGAGAGAGAGGCGATTTAAATATTTATATGTTAAATATATAAACATGTACTGACATATTTGCATATTCAAATAGTTAATTTAGTGTATGGTTTGCAAAGATTCAAAGGATGTATTGTCATATGCTCAGTAGCTAACAGTGTAAATATGGCAATGGAAATCTTAAGTCCCAGGCTCATCCTATCAATACAATATAATATATATAAGACATACAACTAATTAAAAAATTGCAATAAGAAATTTGAAAAAAATTGTGCAAGAATATCTAGGCAAGACCAATGTGCAAGTAATGCAGATAAAGTCAACTATATACATGTCAAACAAATATATACAAGAAACTAAATGTTGCAGAGAATGTTGTTGTGTACAGTGTACAAGTATATAGTATATATACATGTACATAGAGTCAGATACATTATGGAGTACATACTTGGGATTATCAATGAAGACATCCTCAGGCAAAAGGTAGCTCCGTTCTTTCTGCCTCACCTCAATCACCTGAAGGGCAGAGAAAGGATGCGCTTTAATTAAACAAGGCTCTCTTAGTATTCACACGTCCGTTGACATGTTGAGAGAAGAGCCAGACCTCGTGTATGTGCTGGCAGAAGGCTGGGACGGTGGTGAGTTGGCAGATGAGGTTGAGGTAGGCGGCGGCGATGGCGTGAACAGCACAGCGGTTATAAACAGGAAGCGCCTCGTCAGTGGACAGAGCCAGGTCCTGCACAGGAAACAGGGACAAATACCTTGTTAATAAAATACCCTCAGACTTGGTTTTTATTCATCTTGGACTGTTTCCACATCTTGTGTCATTTATTGTGAGTTTTACCACCTATCTTTAAAACTCTATTTTGGATTCAATGTCCTTTTTTTCTAGATATGTTATGGTCTTTATGTCAAAGCACTGTGAAAGGCTTTTTATTGCCACATTCATTTGTATATAATGAGACTAAATATTGTAGTGCAGTGTTAGAAGATTACTTTCTGGGAGTGTTACGGCCAATTTCAGAATGATTTCCTGACTACATAAATACATGTCTCTGAATAGATTTTTGCACATTTTTATGTATCCCTACCTCTCTTCAAATCTACAAAGCCCTCTTCTTTCAAATAGAATATACTGCATTTGTCACATATTGCCATATTTCCATTGCAATATGTTTTTTAGTTTCTTTTGTATATTTATATTTGGAGTAAACACTTGTCTTTATTCTTTTTTAATGTTCATTTTTTCTATATTTTCTTTTTATAATCACTCAATTTTTAACAACTTATTTTCTTATTTTTCTTATGTTTGCACCACCATACACCAAAGAGAATTCCTTGTATGTGTAAACGTACCTGGCAATAAACTTGATTCTGATACGAGTAAATATCATTTGACTGACTGCATGTGTTTCAGTACCTGCAGGGCGAGCGCCAGGCGAATCAGGTCCACCACCACCTCCTCGTTAGCCAGCTCCACGCTGAGGAGACCCAGCAGAGCGAAGAGAGACTCGTAGTGCTGCCCGCCACTGCTCGGCTCCTTACAGCCCAGGTAGATGTGACGGTACAGCTGCTGGCCGTGCTGAGAGGAGGAGGATGAGGAGAGAGAGAGAGAGGGAATCAAGAGTCTGAAGGAGAGGCTACTCTCTTCATTGTTTTCAGCCAAGGAGCCCATACAGCAGGGGTTTTCAAAGTGTGGGAAGGTGAGCCTCCCCTCAGAGAACATAAGAACAGCCGCGCCCCCCCCTCCCAATTATTATTGCTATTATTATTATTATTGTTGTTGTTGATATAATGCAGGGGCATTCAATTGCATTTCAAAGAGGTCCAGTAAGAGAACATGTCATTAAATGCTCTGTTTTCGCAGTCTACCTTCCGCCATTTGAAATTACTCCGACTGTTTCTCTCCTCTCCTCTCGTCTCTCTGTGTGTGTTTGAATCCATCGTGCTGACTCACTGAATGCACCGATTTGATTGGCTGAGTAGCGTCACCTCCTAAAAACATTAAACAATAACTTTTTTTAAACCTTTTTATCTTTATGTTTTAAACATATTGTATAAAACTCCCACACTACTTGGACTATTCCTTGCACCCCTCTAGAATACGCCCAAATGGTCTCAACCATATTGCATCAGTAACGTGCACTTGTTGTTATAACAAGATCGCAAGTCGAGAGATCGACACTGGTAGCGATCGGACAATTGAGTGTTGTTCAGTCTGTGTGTTGTGGAACATGCGTGTGCGTGCATGAAAATATACCACACACCCAATTACAATAGCATGTTCAATTCACTACCCTGGAAGTTAATAAAGTTGGAACAGCCTGTGGACAGCCGTTCTTCCTTGCATGTCAGTCGCCGACACCTTCTTACAGAGGACAGGCAAATCTAGCTGCAGCACGACCCGTATATTTTCGCACGCCGTGTTCTCAACACATATTTCTTTAACATTTTTAACATTTTCAACATCGTGGGTACATCCTTATATGCTCCCGGCAACACACTGAACGTCAACTTTGCCTCCTTATTACACTCAATGAGTCTGTGTCTTTGATGCACACAGGAATAAACGCAGATCATCCTCTGGCTGCAGCCTTGACCGGCACTTGCTTTTGATCAAAGTCAATGCAGAAAACCCGCACTCACACAGGTGGGTGGAGGTGAAGGGAATGAGCACTTTCACAGCCTTTTTGGCGAGGTGGGGGAACTCGGTCTCCACAGACAGCCAAAAGTGTGCAAGTGACACTCGTCTTTTTCTCGTTATTTTGTTTCTCACGCTGCGCCTCCCCTGAAGCTCTCTGGCACCCCCCAGGGCAGGCGCGCCTCACACTTTGAAAACCGCTGCATTAAACCATGAGCAATCAAGTATCAAAGGTGTAATACTATTCGTTAAACTATAAAGACTTTGTAACAAAAAGTAAATATGATCATTTGAAGGAATTAGAATATTTCATGAGCAATGAATCATTGAATTGTGATAATGCATTTCTTTATCTAAAGTCATTACTGCTGGTTACTTTTCAGTAGACTGTAGGGAAAACACGTTCATCAGCTCAGCTTTTAAACTGACAAAGCTTTTACCTTTTTCATGAATAAGTTGTCCTGCCTGGAGCACTTGTCGACTTTGAGCTTGAGCACAGAGATGTCTGAGATGATGCTGCAAAGAGACAAGGCACAATGATTGACTGTTAAGTGCTCAAACACACTAGAAATAAAGCCTAGAATAACACACACACACACACACACGTACCTAATGTCGGAGAACTTTGCTGTGTTGTCGTGCCTGTCGATGAGACTGAGGAGGATCTGCAGAATCAGCAGCCGGAGCTCTGGGTCCTCGGTGAGGGAGAAGGACAGCAGCGGCTCCAGGAAGGAGCTGGGCAGCGCCGTCAGCATGTTGGTGGTCTGGAAACCAGCCGTCACCTGAGACATGGATGGTAACAAGTTAGTAGAGGTTAACACATACATCATTTATATTCCTGCTGAAAATAAGGGTGTTAAATCTGCTTTAAACTACCCCATGAGAGTCAACTGGCTGTCATTTATGGCTTCAAATGGGTTTTTCTAAGGGAATTGAAATCGTCCTTGCTTTGAAAAATGGCTCAATGGTATGATTCCTTCTGTATACTTGGAAGAGATAAGGAATTGTTTATAGCCGAAATGAAATTCTCAGGCCATAAGAGTGCTGCCCAAAACACACATGGTTTGTGAAAAGTAATTTTCTCGAGGGCTGAGATCAAGTTTGAAGGATGACAGCTACTGAGGAGTGTCACCTTGACGTATTGTAAATGCGATAAAAACTACTTGTGGCGCTATTATATAAAGTACTTTCTTAGAGTGATAAAAAGCACCAGTAACACAGGGAGGCTTCTCCTGCTTAAAAGATATGTAAACACTATTTTTTGTATGATTAATAATGCAAAGCTGAAAACGTACCTGGACCAAGGACTTCAGTAACATAACCTGGATCATCCTCGTCACCTCGGGCCTGCAGATGAAAACAAATGAAGATATATGAAAGAGAATAACATAAACACATGCAGTATTCAGTTTACTGGGCATACGCTGCACAAAGAGAGCATGTGTTCGTGAGAGATTTGTGAGTAACTCACCCAGAGCCTATGGAAGTGAGAGCTGGGTGAATCCCAGGGACGGGAATCTTGCCCATGATGAAGAGCATGACCTCTGACCTCTGGTATGTCGGTAGTGTGTTGGCAAAAGAACCTGAAAGTTAGAACATTTTTGGTGAATATTTGTGTGTTTGACGCTTACTGGCAGCAGAGGTCTGCAGCAGAGGCAGAGGCAGAGGTCGCGTTAACCGAACATTTTTAGTCTATGACGGATTTTTTTTAACGATGACGGAAAAATCTGAAAGCAGTCCGTCATTTTGACAGATTAGAACAAACTCGGAACAGCGACAAAGCTTCCCCGCAGCGAGGCTCCGGTGTTATGCCGTGTTATGCATGCCTGCCAAAAAGGAAATGATATCGTTTCCAAACCGTACTTTGCCGTACAAATCATTGAAATGTCTGGGAGTTTTTGTTTTACGCTGTGCGCGCTCCCGCGAGGTGCAGTGGGCATGCATAACACCGGCGCTAACAATTCACGAGCGTGCGTCCCCATCCCCGTCCTCTGTGTACAGAGTAGACCGACGGGTAATCATGGATTTTGACGAAAATGTTACAATCCTGTCCGTCAAAATGACGGGCAGCGAAAAAGTCTAGCGCCACCTCTGACTGGCAGTGAATGTAGGGGGATTACTTTAGTCGTTGTTATTGCTTTTTCTGTTGTTGTGTTTTTCGTTCTTTCTCTTTGTATATATAATCAGTGCAAACCATTGTCTCATTTGTATATGCTTATACTTTGGTTCCTATGGCTAAATGATAGCATATTGTCATTGTGTAGGCACTTCTTTAAGTTGTAACGTAAAACCTTGGTTATGCGTTGTAGAAACTTAATACAAATATTTTTGAACATAAAAGAACCTGAAGGTAAAAGAGAGATGAGAATGAGATGGATAGGAGGATATTGGAGCAAAATACAAAAGAAGGAAAGATGTGCAAAAGGAGAGAAAATGAACAGTCACTGGTGTCCACTCATAAAGGCAGACACAGACAATAGGAACAATTCTTGGAGCCTGTCTTGCAAAGCCTCCCACACACACACACAGTCGTTCTCTCACACACACACACACAGACGCAGCAGCCACTGACTCACCGATGGTCCTGATGACAGCCTCCTGCAGCTGCCTCTCCTCATGAGCTTTGATAATCTTGGTGCCGATGTTGGTGCTGCCGTCATAGGAGCCGGTCAGCTCGTAGTCCACACTCAGACGGAGCTGCCGCAGCAGGGTGTTGAACACCTCCAGCACTGTGGGACCTGCAAACAGTGACTCATCAAAACACTAGTTCAAACTGTCCATGCCTGATCCCGCCTGCGACATGCCAGCTGGTGTTTTTCTCTGTGTGTGTGTGTGTGTGTGTGTGTGTGTGTGTGTGTGTGTGTGTGTGTGTGTGTGTGTGTGTGTGTGTGTGTGTGTGTGTCAGTCTTCTCACCTACGGAGCCGCTGGCTGCAATGGCGGCTGCCTCCAGCAACACTTCCACTATCCCGGCTCGCACTGTGGCTGAGGTCTTGCTGTTAGCGTCAAGGTGACCGAGAAGCTGCTGGATGACCAAGTGAGAGTGCTGAGACTGGGAGGGCAGGAGAGAAAGAAGGAATTAAACCAAAAACTAAAATGAATAAACAAGAAAACTGTAGGAAAAGAGGGAATTCGAAGTGGTGTAAATCTGTAACATGACATCAAGTCATTCAGAAAGGTCAAGAACTAGGGTGCTGGATAGCTTGGTGGGACCATATTTCTCCAATAAAAGGCATCACAGGGTGGATTTTGAGCATATTTCTAATTAGCCGCTTTAAAAACGTGTGATAAAACTTAGATACAAATATGCTACTGTGTGAATCCTACTTGGATCTGGATTTATAGACAAGGAGAAAGACAGAGAAAAGGGGTGATGAGGAGGTCTTAGTGGATATGTAGACACTTACCTGGATGGAGTACATTATGATTTTGAAGCAACGAACTGCAAAGGTCTTCCCCTCCCATAGAGAGTGGTTATCCAAGTGCCTGGAGGGGACACAGACAGGAGCACGGGGACGATGTTATAAAACATTGACAGGAGGTAGTGATGGTGAGGATAGCAAGGGATGAAGAGCAAATGTATAGTTTCTAATAAATCCCAGAAATCAAGACTCAATCTGGGTTTTTTGTTAACTTATGTGAAATAAATGTAAAGATGCCCAACCATAAGACGTATAACGATGTACTGCTATGAGAGAATAAACATTTAACTTTGTCTTTCATTGTTCAGTGTATTCAGCAACGTTCATCAAACATCAAGGTCGTCACTGCTGAAAACTGTGCACAGAGAGGCGCAGGAGGACAAATATCAAAGGCTCGAAACAGACAGACACAGAGACGCTGATGGATGGACGAGAGCCGGTCTCGAACAGAACATGACAAGTGAGATGAATTGTAGGGAAAATTGAGAGACAACTAATAATGATGGATTAAAGAGTTCAAAGGGGATATAAATGTAATATTTAAATGTACAAATGGTAAATCCGTTTGCAGTTGGATTTTGGAGTACAACATGAGTCCATAAAAGGCAGTAGACTTATAAGCAAAATTCAAAATGTGGCTGTTTGAATATACACTGTATTAGTTAGCTGTATTCATAGATAATAAGTGCTCAACAGACAAAAATGAAAAGTCAACTCCGTACGGAAATAAATAGTTAATGTCTAGAGCTCTAGGGGAAACGGCTGAGAGATAATAAAAAACAGCATAGAAGAAAGAAGAGTAGCTCAGATTCAAACAACAGAGGAAGATGGATGGAGGGACATAACTTAAAATAAAACATGAATCACAGAGGACCAGGTTCAGAGACATCAAAGTTCAATGACAACAGCATAGAAGATGACCTTAGTAAGATAAAGCGGTGAAACACAATTTCATTCAAATACAATTTAAAATGTCTGCTAGTCATGCATCTGTCTGGAACAAACTGTGTAACCTTGCCTTGACCTTGTTGCTCCGCCTACATGCCACTCAGTGCAGAGATACAAAAATACCGCAACATAGCATTAAGATGCATCCTTCCCTTGTAATTAATGCGCCAGAAAACGAGCAGAACACAAAGGAAGGAATCACAGAAAGAGTTTTAGGGGCTGTCTTACATCAGCACGGGCGTGACGGCGTTCTTGATGTTGCCATAGGCGGCTCGTCCCAGCAGCTCCCTGAAGCAGCGCTCCGTCAGCTCCACCGGGCTCTCCTTCTCCTTCTCCGACGCCTGCAGCGGAGAGGGGGAGCGGCTGGAAGGGAGCGAGGCAGGTGAGGAGGCAGAAAAGGGGGAGAGGGAGGGGAGGGGAAGTCGAGTCGAGTCGGGAGGGGGGAGAGAGAGGGAGAGGCGGCGAGAGAGAAAATGAGAGAACAGAGAAAGGAGTTCAAATGAGTTTAAAATGTAATTTACTCAATCATATATTTCCACAAAAGGTGAGATTTCTCACACAAAAAAAACACTCTGGACTGCCGTCACTGCAGCCTTGAGGTGACTTCTCCCTCCGCAGTGGAAATTACAAAATGTGTGTGTGAATTTGTGCAATGCCATTCTGTTATCACGATGAAGGACATATTAGACGTGTCAAAGTTTGTATACGTGTGCAAGTGTGTGTGTGTGCACTGACACCGTGTCCAGCCTGTCTTTGTTCTCATGCATAAAGCCTCCACTATAACTCCATCTTAGTCATGACTAGCCCCGGGTGGTCCACCAATGATGACATTATTTATTAACAGCCTCACTCTTTCATCAGGCCTGCCGCTGCTGTGGAGGTAATGAGACTTCCTGCCTCTCTGGGCGTTTCTAACTCAACTCTGAAAAAAGACACTGACATTTGAGGGGCAATGGAAAACAGTAAAAGCAAGAAAAATAAAGGGTTCATATTGGTTTTACTTTAAGGTCACACACGTAAATGAAGCCATTTTATTTTAGTGGTGCCAATGAGTTATAAACCGCTATGGCTGAGAGGTTTAGCATTTGTTCAGCGGTAGCTTATAATGCTTACGAATCCACTCCCATTGACCCCTATCGGATTGAAAAGTGCATCTTAAACCCCCCGTGGGAGACTTCATTCTGAAGTCAACCTAACAGCCTCCAAGTACACAGTTTTCAATAATGATTTGGAAACTCACAAGCATGCAAAAAAAAAAAATCAGCCATCTCCATCATCTCGAAGACTACTTGGCTAGGCAGTTTACCCTTATACCTGCTCTCATCAAACCATTTCCCAGAGGCAGTGTTTGAGTCTGAGGAGGGGCATGTTAAAGGCATGGATCATTTCTGCTAAACGTTTCTGCTGAGGCAATGTCTGGAAGAAAATGGCTTAGGGAACATAAAGTCTGAGCAGGCACCTACACATTAAAACCAATAAATCAGCACGGGCCTCCCTGTCTGTGTGGCAGGCAGGGGAGTAAACACAAACATTTTTTAAAGGGGCCCTATTAAGCTGATTCTTAGGTTGTTATTTGTGCCTATATTATGACATGTCTCCATGCTTTAATGTTCAAAAAGTTCTTTATTTTTTTTATTGGTGAGCTGGCCGGATCTATTGTGATTGGTCAACCGCTTTGAGATGTCCCGCCCCTTAGCCTACTACGTACAAAGTGTTGGAGCGCTAGCCAACAGAAGCAATGTTACGTAGTGATGTCACTATGTTGTTGAAGTAAACAAAGGAGTCCAATCGAGGCGTTTCAGGCGAGGGGGGAGTGTGTGGGAGAGAAACTCCCTCTGGGGGCAACTTTGGGATTTCAGCCTTTGCAGACCATTTACATGCACACAAAAAAACGATATAACACACTGCAGGAAAGGGAAAACACCCAAAAGCATAATAGGGCCACACAGGCTAAACACAAACAAAGGCTAAACACAAACAAATATGAATTAAATCATGTTGGGAATTTGGAAATAACAACATATAACATCGTTCTTTTATAAATAAACTTCAAATGTTGGACTCTAGAATTATTGGAATTGGAATCAAGCCAAATCTTCATGTGCATCTCGGCTAAAATACCAAGTTCAAACTAAATGAATAGACACAATTGTGCATCATTCAGTGATGATTTAGAATTTCAATGACAACCTTATGAATGAAGCCTTAAACTATTCAGTTCAGCATTAAATCAATGTTTTTTGTTCTTGAAGTATGACACACAAAATGGGTCTCTGGGAAAGATAGCAGGAGCTCCACAAACGTCTAAAGAAATCTCAACTGTCAGAAGGCTTGGCTAAGACTGTCCCCGAGTTAGATCTTTAAATGAACACGTACATGGGGATTAATGTAGAGAAAAGGCACCATCTGTGAGTTTAATTAGACTGTACTGACTGCTGTGGGTTTTACGTCTGGTAATGACTGCAGATGCACAGCAGGGGCAGGCTTCATAATAACACACACAGAGAGAAGGGAGGCTGAGAGGGAATCGTGTCTCTCTGTTGGAGCCTTTCTGTCTGCTGTCCATCTGTCTCCGTCTCTTTCAATAAGCTCCACATTTCCATCACTGTACTTTCTATTATCTACCCTCCACCCAATCTTCTCCTCGCTGCCCTCCCCCTTTAACTTGAGAAGTCGGCATTGACGTCAAAGTGAATTTCACTATGTGGAACACGGCCAAGAGAGGGAGGCTACAGACTCTCTCACTGGCAACCTCCAGCTCTCAATGTAATTGTGATCCTTTTTTTGTCTCCAACCAATTCTGTTTATCCTCTATCCTCCCCCCTCTGTCTTTTTTAACCTTTCTACCTTTGTCTTTGTCCTTGGAATACTGCAGGTGGGCAGCAGATGTCCGTGAGGGGATCAGAGCTGTCAGTAAGTTCTCTCAGTGATGACAGTGATGATGAATGACATGGACAAATATGGCCTAACGCAAGACAAATAGCACCGGTCGCCTACAACACAATAACTCTTGACGTAGTGACCGAGACACAGCGGTCAATGTGACTCATTTTTGGTCATCAAGTTTGCCACCACCTGTTCGCAATGACATGACATAATACCAGGGCTGTATTACCTGTCTCCTAACTGCAGTCATACCTTTTTTGAGCCCTATAATTTCCTCACTTTTACTGAAAACAATTATTTCAGTAGGTTGAATAGTCAACCAATTTTCAACAAATCAACATTATGACATTTAATATGATCAAAACAGCCATTTAAAGGAACAGACAAATGATATAGGGAGGCTGTGGCGCAGTGGCCTAGTGCGTTGGTGTTCGGATCAGGGGAGCACAGGTTCAAACCCCACTGCAGTCAGCATGTCGTTGTGTCCCTGGGCAAGACACTTCACCCCAAATTGCTCCTGTGGCGATTGCCCATAGTATTGAGTATGTAAGTCGCTTTGGATAAAAGCGTCTAACAAGTAACATGTAATGTAATATAGTGGTGTCAAAAAGCACCTGGAACAAGGCATTCAATTATCAAGGTAGTGGGTAGCAGGGAAAAAAAGTTGGTTCTATTAAATACTGAGATTTTGATAAGTACCGGCTGCCGGGAAAAAGAGCTGACGACTTATTTAATCCAGTCGGCTACTGTAATATATTCATTTTTGATTTCAATTAAATCGTTTTAAGAAACACAGGCGGGAGACCTTCTCAGTAAAGCTATTTCCCGAAAACCACTGTGGCAGCAACTTCACAATTGTGCAGTAAGCTTTAAAAAGTCCAATGAAACTAGTGCATCTTTCATAAACACCACACACAGATAGTTATGTGCTTATTAGGAACAAATTCATGAAATACCCTTATTTACATTGCACCTTTACAACAGCCTCATTTTTAAAAGCGCATTGTAAACACATCATAAAACAGGCAATGTTGTTAAACTAACAGTAAGGTATTCACAGGGTTTGCTATATTAGTTAATTTTGCCATAGGAATATTTGATTAGTAATTTTAATCAACTAAACATAGGTGAGATGTGATTAAAATATGTTCCACCTTTAAATGACCTTATTTAAGAGTATGTGTCTATTCTGTTAATTACTATCATTGTGGCATGTGCTTATTAGCTGAATATTATAGACTGAAGGTGCCAATGATGATACAAAATTAAGTCTAATGATTCTTAATTATAACAATTATAATAAGTCAGGAAAAGGTATACTTTTTACTATAAATAGCTATTTACAGCCTTTTGGTTAAAACACACCAGAAGCCTAATAATAAATAATGGAATAGAGGACACTGAATTTGACCTTTACTGCTAAAGTTGTTCTGCGGTGGGAATGCACCCGGACCCCTATGGGTGGCTACTGAGTGGACAATCCACATCCTTGTGGAGAGCCCAGATGGTTTTTTTCAACAGACCTGATAAACAGCAACTTACAAAAGCCCAAACATTTTCCTGGTGCACACTCACCTCTCCGTGCGCTCTCCACTCTGCAGGTTGAAGAGCAAAGAGGGGACGATCTTGTCCATGTGCTGAGGGTCCCAGATGTTGGCCTGCAGCTCATCGTTCACAGTCTTCCTCACCACACCCTGCAGGCCCTTGATCCCTGCCATGCGGATCCTAGCAGGCAACAGAAATAGAAGATCAGAAATCAGACACCAGACATCCTCTGACTGGCAACAGAATCTATAAATGGAGGATTTAATTTAGGAAATCTTGTTTTTGTCTTGTCTGTAGTCCAAATCTGTTCATCTTTAATCCTGCAGAGCTATTTTTTAAACGTTCAAATATGTCACTTTGTCTATTTCCAGCAGATGACAAAAATCAATTTCAAAAGGATTGCATTTTTTTCATGAAGATATTAAAATATGGAGGGGGCAGAGGTAGTCTAAAAAAAGACTTCCTGAAGCCAGTCTAAAAAAAGCTGTTCAATCTGTCTCTAGCTCAATCGAGCATCTGTCCACTCACTTGGTGCGGATGTCAGGGTCCTCAAAGCTCGAGTGGCACATCTCACTGAAGCGCGACACGAAGAAGTCATAACTGCGGTGGTACGATGGCGTGTCCTCTTCTATGTTTGCAAACTTCACAAACTGAGAAGAGAAGAAGAGACACGGGAACAAATCAAACCTTTGTTCATGTCAAACATAACTTCTACAACTCAAGAGATATAAGAGAAATAAGTCTGCTCCTCGAAAGCTCTAGTTTGTAAAGAGTTTTCTTTTCAATTTGATTAAAGCCTAAATCCCCATGATGAATACTTTTCTAAATTAAAGTCAAACCACAGCGCCATAACATCCTATTAAGTGAAGAGCAAAGGGCAGAGGGGGGGGTCTCTCCCACTGGGTCGTAAAATGTCACCATTTAAACACGCTGGCATTAAGCTTCACAACACTCTCCAATTAATAAATTATGAAGTGGATTTCTTTAGAATTCAAACAGAGCAGATGCTACCTGAAGCAAGAATATATAACTAATTAACATTACAGCAGGTGGTAATAAACCTCATCTCCCCCTTTAAACATAAAGAAGAGTTTATGTTGAGAGTGAACATCTAGAGCCTTGAGAATCTATTTCCTGTGTACAAAATAAGTGCTTAGAGTGGTTTTGAAATGACAGAAAGTACCCTTGAGTAAATTAAATGAAGTACTTGTGTGCAACTGCTCAGCTGCTGCAGTAAATCGCTGCAGCAGTTGATACCCGGAAACTGCCCAGGATTATTGGCAGTAATACCGGGCAGCTTCCAGATATCAATGTATCAACTCAGAAATGCACTCTCTATCTGCACGAAAGCTGTAAGTGTAGGGTCTAAAACAGTAAGTGATGGATGGAGAGCTGAGATCATAACATTTCTGATGCTTTCCAAAGAGCTACACCGAGAGAAACTAACCCTATGCCCCGAGACATTTTTTTTATCACATCACATAAAGCAAGATGACAGAAACACTAACTCAGGTACTGATGTGTTGATGAGCTGGCTGGCGTTGGAAAGGGCTCTGCAGCACAAGGTGTTTAGGTCAGAGAGTGTGAGAAAACCTGGCCGGGCTTGAAGTCCTGTGGTGATAAACTCTCTAATCCGCTCCTTTCACCGCTCTGTGACACTGGTCTGCGGCTTCAGATGAGCCATACAGTGCACATTAAAGGTCACCTATTATTCTGAATCTATTTTTTCAAGACTTTCATACATGCACGTGTCCCTTCTGTGTCAAGAGATTCTGAAAGTTTCAGGAAAAAAGATTTGCTCGCTTTTTGTCCTGATCCATTTATATAAAAACCTGTCTGAAAATGAGTTGATCAGATTTTGGCCACTTTGTGATGTCATAATGTTTTTTTGGCTTCTATAACCATTAGCCAATCACCAACCAAGGTAACCCCCCCCCCACCTTATCACCTGAATCTCCTCCTAGAGCACCATTGTGTTCTTTTAACCAAATATCTCTCTGAGGGGCGTGGGGAGTGGCTCCTTATTTTCATCTAAAGTAACAGACACAGAATCAGCACTTTTGAAACAGGGCTGAAACAGAGGGGATTATGGGATGCTACAATGGGTGATCTGTTTGGTGTTTCGAGCCAAACACTTCAGAGACATTTTATATATATATCTGATAACTATAATATATTGATGAAAAACAGTATAATAGGGGACCTTTAAAAAGGATAGATGCTATAGATGCTGTCAAATACAGTGGGGAAACTCAGGAGTTGTGTGTGTATGGACTGAGTATTAAAGTGAATCCCAATCAATATCTTCACATTGTTGAACTACAGGCGCTCTGAATGCAAAGCTTTAAATCCGCATTTAATGCAAAACTCTACTTCCTTCCGCTCAGATCAGTGCTGCGTAATTAATTGTGGATCAATGTGTGTGTGCATTTAAATGGATCAGTGTATGGACCGGCATTTGTCCTAAATACACACCCATTAGCGTAGGGAGACAGATAGCATGAAGATTATGAGTGAGAGGCCGGCGTGTCTCTAGATGACTGCAAAGCTTCAGCACTGTGGTCTGCGGCTAATCTGATTTCCTTTATGTGCCCTCTGCTGATCCGGTGCCCAGCGCTGATAGCCGCTTCCTACATCAGGAGATACTCATCACTCCCACTCCCACTCCCTCTGCAGCGCTGATCTTACTCAAATACTCAAGCAGTTACCTCTCAAAGTTAACTTCACTTTCTGTTTGCAATCATATCAGAGTAGGTAGGAATGTGCCCTGTCAACCTTTGATTACATATTACCCCGACATTTACTGAAATGGGCAACATTTGATGGCCGAAAAACCTAAAGCACATTCGACACATTAATGAATAACAGTTGAAGGTATTTATCTAAGTTTGAAATAACAAAAAAAGGCCTTCTCCTTTTTGTGACCAAGAATGTATGGCGAGGCAATTTTGTTTTGGATTCAATTATATTCAAAGCACCCTTTGGTTTCTGCAGTAAATTGAAAACCTTCACAATATCACCTTCAATTTAGTCAAATAAAAATAGACAGTGCATCTACTCCACTTTCAGAACTTATAAAGATGATAACATCACTTCATGACCTTATTTTAATGTTTACCATAACTTTTACTTGAGTTTTTATCACAGTAAAGTTTATTATAGATATGTTTCACACTGTACTTCTTTCATAAAAATGTATAGTCATAGCTAAACCGAATGCTCGTCATGAATTAGGATCAAGGCCAGCATTTTAAAAATCTCACACTGTTTGTTGTTTTTCATTGCTGCAAAACTATTAAACATCTGATGGACTCTTTAAAGTAGTGATACGATGGTGTATACTCACAGAGTTGGTTCCTAGGATCTGCAGGCTGGGCTTGTCGGACTCCAGCAGCTTCCGCACCATCTTAAGGAAACTCTCCACAAACAGGTTGATGCTCTGACAGTGGCACGCCATCAGCAGCTGGTCCAGCGCCTCCATGGCTATACACACATACCTGGAGGAGGAGGGCAAGCACACACAGAAACATCTGGATGACACAATTAACGTTCAACGCAGTAATATCTGTGTCTGGATATCTTATATGGATAATAAAGTATGTGCGTATTTCTTTTAAATCTCTAAATTCCCATGGCTCTGGAAATATTAAAGTACATATATAGATAACAGATTATAGCAAGACTCTGCCAAATGTTAATGAAATCTGTGCAAGCTGTTTGCATCGGCGAGATCATCACAGCGCGTCCTAGTCATGAGTCATAAAGACAACAACTTCTGTGGCATTTAGAGTAGGTACAGAGAGTGCAGAGAAATAACCGTTGATGACCCTGCAGCAGTTTTATGTTAAAAAACACGACCGCTTGCCCCTTTTACTTGGCTACTTTGTATGCAGTCATTATAGAGTACAGAAAAGGTTCAACAACACAAATATTTGGTATAAATGCAATGGCATAATTGTACAGTTCTCTTTAAAGTTTGCATGTGGGATATAAGATAAATATATACTATTTCACACGTTCTTTAATGGAGATCTTTAAAGCATCTCTCTGATGTACTGTCAGTGTAAATGTCTTTGATGGAAGGCAATTCCAGGCACCACTTTTCTTATTAATTCATAGCAAGATAACCTCCATTTCTTAGAATAAGTTATATTTAATAGCTTCAACTTTGCTGAATTTAAGTTTAATGTGTGGCAGATTATAAATACTATACAAAATGTCCAAGCAGAGATAGCCAAGATGTCTTTTGAAAACTGTTTTGAACTGTGATTGACGGAAGATGCTCACCCGTATCTGTGTCGGGCCACGTCCCTCGACAATCTCTCAGACAGGTAGGCTCCGATACGGTCCAGCTTCTCTGGAGCTGACAGGGCGTAGAACGTCAGCTTCTCCATGTTGGCCTTCACCAGACCATCCTGCGAGGGTGAAGGGGGGGGAGATAGAAAGAAGGGGTGAAAACAAGACGAAGGAAAAACGTTTTACAAGGTTTAAAATCCTTAAAGAGTAGATTACTAAAAATGAGAATACAGTCACTCTCGGGACAAAGGAGACAAATGAGATTTACATGAAGCTGGTATGTCCACTAGGGCTGTGCATTGTTAACAGCCAGTGCACAAAGGATTGTATGCAGGTAAGAGTGAAGATTTTTTGATATTATTTGGTACTGGCTTGTTCAAAAGGCATTGAGTACCGACACCCAATGTCTACTAAACAAAGAGGCAACTGGTTAAGACACGTGTGTTGACTTCCACTGAGAAAGAATACATTTTCTATTCCATAAATATGTCTGAGCTGATAGTGCGTGTACTCCTCCTCAAAAACAAAATTGAAGTATAACTAGTTCACCAAGTTTCACGTCCTACTCCAGCCCTTGACCTACTTCTCTGCTCAGTTTGGTCAGGCAGGGAGAGAGCTAAAAAATGTTTACAGTCCATTGATATCTAGTTGACATTCAGGCAGGAGCCAAAACATGAAGTCAATGAAATAGCAACACCTACAAACAGAAATATATAAGACTGTTATGTTTTGGAGACATGGCAACTGATTTGTACACTTTAAGTATTCTGTACGTAGCTATGTAAGGCAAAATATCTTCAAAAATAATCACTGTTATACATGGGCATCATTCATTATTTATATCATTAACAGCCAAGGAAAAATAATCATATTTTTATTTTCCATTTCTGAAATGTTGAACCCTCTAAACCCGCTAAATTATGACTTGTAATATTTTAAAAACACAGGTGTTACTGCTTCATTAAAGATGGCTTTATGAAGTTTTCCAGTGAGCAACGACACATGCACAATACCAGGACCCTGAAACTGGAGCAGGACAAATTCTCGTGCTTTTCAAGTGAAAATGTGGGCTGTGAAAAAAGGGTCTATTCCTCTCATCAGAGGGTTATTTCAGAGGTCAGCACAGGGCAAAAGCTCTGATTTGTCTGCTTGTCAAAAACATCCTGTGGCTGGAAATCCATCTCCCATCACACAGCCAGAATATTGCAGCTGTCAACAACCTGCAGTTTTAAAAGTTGATTTGCTTTTGTTCAATCATTTTGTAGTTCTGTGGAAAAACAGTGCAGGCTTCTGTTAGCGTCAGCAGAGTAAATTGTAGACTCTTCCCAGTGATACACTCCAGTCATATGCACTCCAATTTAAAACTAGTAATGTATCTTACTGTGGGGACATTCTGACACATGGAGAGACTATATTTAGGCTTCTTACCACCAATTATCTGGGAGAAACACAGCAAATGTGAATGGAACACACCCACATGGTCTCACAGTGTGACACAATTTGGAGTAAATGTTATTAGATGGATTTATTATTCCCAAGCTGCTGGGATTTCGGTAGTTACAGTCTCATCCACAGCTGATTAGAGCCAAATTTAAGACCAGTTTTGGGCGCACAAAGAGCAGATGCACACACACAAAACAGCGAAATCAGGTCTGCTTGAAACAGTATGTCCCGCATACTGCAGTTTTGGCCGAGAACTGATTGGTAAAGTGGGTTACTGCAGTATCAAAGAGGCACTTGTGAAAAGTTCCCTCTGCAACAAATCAGCTACTTCTTCTCCATCCAAATGAATTCTCTTTATGAGTCATCTGTATCAGATCTCAAACACTAGAAAAGAAAGGGTACGTGGCTCGATACCAACAGCTTTGAAGAAGATAGTTACATCTGAGGCTGTTTGTGATGTTTTCTTACCACATCTACCCACTCTTCCTACTTGAAAGACAATATCATAATAACACTGCGTTTATATTTACCTGGCACAGATGGAAAGCTGAATCTGATACAGAGACATTTATGCTAATATTTGATGTGTTCTGTTGTGCAATGTTCTTGTTTGTATTTAACCTAATGAGCTATTGAAACTTATACAGAGACAGTGTTCCTCTTTAAAAAGAATTGCAATAATGTGGCATTGGCAAGAGGCAAACCATTTATATATACACGAGCATAAAGAAGAGAGTTCACAAACTTCAGACAATAACAATAACCATTTAGGTTCAGAAAGGCATTATTACAAAGAAAAACAAAGTCACTTGAGCTTCTCACCTCTGGGTCTTCTGGGAAGATGTTGTCGACCAGTCTCTTGTAGCGAGGCCTGAGCGCCCCGCAACAACCACAAACCCCTGAGGATGTAAAAGAGATGACAGAGATTAGATTTGTGCACCATGACTGGCAGAAAAGCAATAAAAACAAAGAAAAATAACAAGCAAACACGTCCATTTCTTTTTCATCTGCCCTGTGTAAGCCTTTCGAAAGAACACAGTCCAGAAATAATAAGGTACGTTTGAAATCAGCCACTTGTTCAAAGGGGAAGATTGCAGACACTACATAATGACTTCACCTTAATAACACACTGTATCACCACTGAAGTAGTGGTGGGAAATGAAGTGATGTCCAAATAAGTAATCAAGCATTTAGATTAAACGATGAATTAGGAACAATTATTTAACACATGGAGCGGTAACAACCGTAAAATGTGTTGGCAAAGAAGTCCCAGCTAATCAAATAATGATGGGTAAGCTAACGAGCAACTATTGATAACAGCCTCGTCTCAGCAGTGCTACTGTTAAGGTCCTATTAAAGTGGCACACATGAATATAAGTGTACACATCGCTGATTTTATGAAGTGCTGGCGGTTTCTAGCCTGTGGAGAGTGCCAAGTTAAAATTAAAATGAGCGGCTGACGAGCAGAGAAGCAGGGTATTTCTAGGAGAGGTGCTGAATGTGGATAGATAATGCAAACTGACAGAGCTCTGTTAATAGATTTAATTGAATCGGGTCAAAAATAAAAACAAGCATCCAGAAAACGGCATTGTCAAATTCTCTGCAAGAATGCCAAATGATGAATTGAAATCACCAGATTAAAAACATGGAGCTTCTGATAAACAGTCACTTGGCCTAAGTGACTGTAATGCATTTTCACACACACACACACACACACACACACACACACACACACACACACACACACACACACACACACACACACACACACACACACACACACACACACACACACACACACACACACACACACACACACACACACACACACACACACACACACACACACACACACACACACACACACACACACACACACACACACACACACACACACACACACACACACACACACACACACACACACACACACACACACACACACACACACACACACACACACACACACACACACACACACACACACACACACACACACACACACACACAGTCTAGAAGAGAAAGTGCAACACAGTGAAGAGTGATTTCTCTGACTTTGCATTGAGGAGAAAGGCAAGCAAGGCAGCGAAGGGAGAGCTGGATTGTGATTGGTCGAAGGAATTGAGCAGTGGTGAGTCATAAGGAGACACAGAGAATGAAGAAAAAAAACAAATGCATCATTCAACCGTTGTTGCAGCTCAGGATAACAAATATTATTTTCCTGCTCACACCAAATAAAGGCTATTTGAGTTTAGGAGATATGAAAGCTGATGACAAAAAGTAGGTCATCGTGCTTTCAGTAATGCAGTCACGTTTAATGAAGAGTTTGAGAGGCTGACACTTTAAATAGAGATAGCAGAAATCTAGTTAATATAAGACAAATGAAAAACAATCTGCAAAGAAACATATTTTCCTCTTTCTTTCCTCCCTCCCTTCTAACATCAGCTCCCTTCCTTCTCTTCTCCCACAGGAAAAATGTTTCATTATTCATTATTTGTACTTTGTGGTTAAACAGATTGGAGCATTTTTTGCTGGTGGTGCACGAAAACCTATTCCGAGAGCATACTGACCCGACATTTACAGGATTGCCAGATGCCTCACAGTGTGCTCTATCCAACATAAGACAGATTCTCCGTGGAGTCGTCACATCAGGACTACAGTTGATCTTTTAAATGCACCTACAAATTGTATAGGAACTCTTCAACCAACCCATACAGCCAGAGACGAGCCTCGTGATCAACACTGTTCACACTCGGAGACACACAGACTGTAACACAGGTGTAACATGTTCTCAAAATCACACAATTCATTTTCTCAATGGACCAATTATGCCCATTTCACAGATGATTGAGGCAAAAAGCTGCCATGTGCCTGACTCACCAGTGCAAATGGTTGAGCTGAGCCCAGCTGTAACAACACTTTGCTAGACACACAACCCAGATACATGTACCACAGAAGATATAGCACATTGCTAGTTTTCCATCTGGCGTCCATGAGCATGTATATACTGCACATATATAACAACATTTAAAAGGATCATTCCAAATGTATAAATGTATTAATAACTACACTTATAGGACAGTTACCCTTTTCTTTTAAAAGTGCAAAAGCCAGAGTTTGGTTTGTCTGTTTTGAGCTACTGTAGGTACATGGAGAACCTGCTCTCTATGTAGATATGAAGGGCTACTTCAAAAGACACAACAATTCTCAGTTTCAGGTGATTTTACAATATAAAAGCAGATATGAAGTTATGAATACCATTTTCCAATTCGTCCCACTAAATACTACACTGGCCCTTTAAGAGCTTGTTTTATCTGTAGATCTAGACTAAATATAGTACCATACCCAAGGAAACGATGAAAGAAAAAACACACACAACACTTTCAGCCCTTGCGGAAAGTGTTGTGTGTGTTTCTAAAAAATTAGAATAACTTAACTGCTACTAGCTGAAAACACATACATTTGGCTGCATTTCATTTTATCTTTTTTATCCAAAGCACACTGACTGACCAATTCAGATAGTAACACACCAATGGCAGAAAGCTACAATGCAACAATGACTGTTGTGCCCAAGGACATGAGGACAGGAAGACAAATGACCAACCCACGATGGCCCCTTCTACCTCCTAAACCACAGCCAATGCAGCAGCGCTCTGTTCTGGGCTACGTTCCTGCATTCACCGGCCTTCTGGTATGTTATCATTGACCAACACTTGGGAGTAGGGCAGCCAGTACAGGCAGGATGTCCTTGAAAAGCCTTTTAATAGAGCAACATGCATATTTAGTGCCTTAATCACTTAAAAGCCGCTCCGTTTCAAGGCCTCTGAAAGTTCTACTGAAGTCCGCAGCAGGAGCTCGGCTGGTGCTTATCTTTGAGAGTGGCGTGTCTATTCATAGTGCTGCTTCTCTCTCCTCCATCACTTCAAATACTAATGAGGCCTCTGCACCCCTCCCTCCCTCCCTCCCTCTGTCCCTTCCTCCTGCACCCACTGAACCTCCCTCTCACACCTTCTCTCATCCCCTCGGTGTTGGCCCGGGGCCTGAGTGTAGGAGTCGCCGATGAATTAATGAAAATGCAGCGGGTCCCAGGAGTAGAGAGGAAAGGGTGGAGGACAAAGAGTGACAGAGACACAGGCGGCTGAAGAGGAAAAAGAGACAGAGATGGAAGTGTGATGGGGGAGGTGGATGGTGAGTCACAGATTAGCGCTACTTATTGCATCTCCTCTGTCCAGCACAAATCTGCCCTCTCTCTGTCAACAGTAGAGAGACGAGATTTTTGGGGAGGAGTAGTCAAGATGGCGTAAGAAAAGTTTAATACACTTTTAGGTCTATTGTGCCTAAAATCCACAACCGTTTTAACAGCTGAGTGGGTGTAGCAATTGACATGTTATTTCCCCCTCTTCTGGCACACTGCAAGCATCCACATTTTCCATTAAGCAATTTATTTTCCTAGGTTCTTTTTTTGCATGAATTTAAAGTGGCTGCCATTGCCGTTGGTTAGCTCATAAGCTAGTGGCATGTGTTGTGGGAATGTATTTATCAATCGAATCGAATAGAGTTTGGGTTGCATATTTAAACACAGAGAAAGGAGAAAGGTGGGGAAAACCTTGGCGATAATGAAAGGAGAATTCTGGAAGTTCAGGGAGGCAGTATCAGTATGTTCTCAGTTCACAGAAGTTGAAGGTCAACATTGCAACAAATCGTCTCAACAAGAATTTCCCCAAGCTTAGCAAAGACGTGAAAGCCAGTAAATAAAGATAACATTAGCAAGTAAGAATCACACAGTGTTATTCTAAAAGTAAGTAAATGAGCATAATACTTTTCTTTTATACATTATTTTACCGTCTAAACTGTTTTTTATTGAACAGAGGGCAATTCATCATTCAGAAAAAATATAGTTTTAGGATTTTCAGAGGCTTGATAAAAAGCAGTTTATGTGTTACGGTTGCTTAAGTGGCACCACATACTGGTCACTAAAACAACAAATGCTATAGGACTGCAACTTATGATCGTATTCATTATCAGTTATAATAATAATAATAATAATAATAATAATAATAATAATAATAATAATAATAATAATAATAAATGAGACTTGTATAGCACTTTTCTAGAAACTCAAAGACGCCTTGACAGAATAAAAAAAATACAAAAAGAGATAAACAAAACAGAAAATAGGGGGGGGGGGGTGGTCAGTGGTTGAATGCAGTGTTGAACAGGTGGGTTTTGAGTGATGTTTTGAATGCGGTGAGGGAGGAAGAATCTCTGATGGATTGGGGTAGTGAGTTCCAGAGGGTGGGTGCAGCAACGGAGAAGGCTAACTTAAGTTAGTTAATTTCTGTTCTTTTGACAAGCTGATTAATTGTTATGTTTTCCAAAAGCCAAAGATGATGTCTTCAAATTGCTCGTTATGCCCATAAACAGTACTAAACCCAAACACCTTCAGTTTAAATATTATAAAAAGGAGAAAAGTAAATACTAAAATTTGAGCGGCTGAAAGCTGCGTTTTTATTTTTTGCATGATAAAAGACTGCGATTTGTTGTCAATTTATTTCCAATTGACAAGTTGATAAATTGTTGCAAATCTAAAAAGCTACTGCAATAATTGTAAAGATTAACATATTCTGTACCACAAGTTATTGTGCTGCAAAACCATGTTTGTGTTGGAAATGATTCTCTCTCTAGAGAACACTGTTCAGAGTTGTGTTTGGTTTGAGTTGTTAAGTGTTTCTTGTGTTAATAATGGTGGGTTAGAGTGGAAAAAAGCTAAAAGAGATCAGCAGGGTGGGTGGACAAGAACTTGTATGTCTGCGGTGAAAAACACACACACACACAGGGGGGGTCTCACGACTTCCACCCACTCGGCATGGCAGGCTGACAACACATTTAGGGGCTGGAC